CGCAGGAGAGTGGATTGTTCCAGGCTTTACTGTCCCATCCTCCCCACCAGGAACTGTACAGGAGGGAAAAATACCTTTTTCTTCTACTCTTTTAGGTTTTTGATGGGTTCTATAACAAAAGAGAAAAATAAACAAGTGTATTAACGTGCGTGTCTCATATGTACTTGGGAGAAATGCAAGGATGAGTAACTCAAAGAGGTGGCTGGAGGTCAGACCTACATAGCATCTTAATCAAAGTACAATGTATTTTTATAAGAGTGACGTGACAGAGAAAAAGGCTCTTAGGCTTCAAAGGGTGGCAAATTGTGGGCAGATAAACCTGTAAGAAACCAGTGGCAGATACTAGCTGGTCAGTCCAGGCTGTTAAGTCGTGTCCTCCAGGGCTGTCTTGGGGCTGACGGGCATCTGGGCTTGTTGGAGTTTGACATTTGTACAAATCTATGCTCTGCATTCGGGCAAATAGCGGGTAGACAGAGAAATTTCCTTGGATCTGCTTCTTCTCAATTGCCTTCAGTTCAAAATACTCCTTACACTGAAGGGGTGTAGTTTTTGGTGGCATTTGGTGCTATTCATCTGTAGGTTTTATTACAAGTTTCCTTGCCTTATAAGGACCCCCTTATGTTCTAACACAGAAAGGTGAAGTAAGGCTTTGTCAACAAGGAGTTGTTAGGATTGCTGTTCCCATGAGACACATTTACAACAGTAAAACATTAATTTAGAAGTTAAAAATCTACAATAGTTTCCAAAGAAGTTAGTATTGGAATCTGGCTGAGCAGCGTGTTGCTGCGCTATGTCCCTGTGGAAACAACAGGCAGGGTGTCGTGTTCTTTTGTGGAAAGTGTATTTAAGGAAATTTTAACTGAAAAAGATGAAGACCCCAGAGCGAAGGCACATAAAACAATTTAATGCGAATGAGTGTTAATCAAAGATGGGAGCTCATTTTCAGTTGCGTAAAATGTTTGTTCCATTATTTTTTTAATTTATAGTTGCTCAAATTCATTACAAAACAGGAGGAAGTTTCTCTTTTGGCAGCAGTGCTAATCCAGATTGTTCCTGAGCAATAACTTTAAACAAGCTCATTTCATTATTTTCCGGCAGGTGAAGTCTTAGGATGTGAGAATATCCCTCTTCAAACATAAGAAAGAAAATATTTTAAGTCAGTGGGCCAATAAATGGTTCCTGTTTCCCCCGAATCTCAAGGGGTGGAGCTCCCGAACCCCCAGGAGTAAGGGAAGTCCAAAGGAGTTAAATACTGGGGCTGGCTCAGCCCCGGGCAGACTGCAGTCCGGGCATCTCAGTCACCATGAAGGCTCTCCTTGTGCTGGGGCTCATCCTCCTCACTGTTGCTGTGCAGGGCAAGGTCTGGGAGAGATGCGCACTGGCCCGAAAGCTGAAGGAACTCGGAATGGATGGCTACAGGGGAGTCAGCCTGGCCAACTGTAAGTCATCTCTTGTTCATCCTTCCAAATAGCTGGTGGGGGCGGAACGGATAGTAAAGCAGGATGAATAATGAGAAAGGGACTTTGAGTGAATGGACTTTTTGAAAACTCTCTTGGAAGGTTTGTACACTTAACAATGTTTAGAAATATCACCTTGTTCCTTTGGAATGAGATGTACCAGATGAAGGTTTGAGGATATGGGAGGGCAAAATTCTATACCGGTCTAAGCATGCCGGGACCCATGCTTCCAGTGCCACTAAATTTGCCGGTTCAGTTCCCTCAGCGGCCCATGTAAGGCTGGCTGAAAGGTACTTTTGGAGTTATTAGAATTGCTGACTTTTGGGCACCTGGGGTGTCTCTGTCAGGCCCTTGGCATTTGACTCCAGCCATGTCTAGTTTGGAACTTGGGTTCTGCAAGCCTAGAGTAATGCAGCATTTTTCTCCTTTCCAATCATGCTGTTGGGGTTTTAAGAGCAAATTTTAACAATTCTGTGGAACTC